CCGAACGGTTGTTCGACGTAAGTAAAGTAGAAAATTAAATTAAAAAAACTAGAACATAACGAGGAGGGGACGGAGGGGGGGGGGGAGAGGGAAGCAAAAGTGTTAATCAAGGAAAGGCGTTGAAAAGCGCGCGAGATCGCGCGAGTTAATCGAGAGCCCGTAGACGCTATGAAAGTTCGGCGAGAGACGACGGGCTCTCCGTGCAGGAAAAGGGATAACTGACGGCAATGATCGAACGTGGCGTGACCCGGCAAATTACTGTCACTCGAGGTAATTTCAGCGTAATCGCCTCTTCCATTCCATTTACCGCGTCTAAAGCGAAATTTACCTTTCGAGCGTATCCGAGGCGAGAGAGAGCGGCCGTCGAAAATACACGGCGCGCGCGAGCGCGCGATGGCAAAATAATTCGCCAGGAGATACGCGCGATTTTCTATCCATCTACTTACACATGTCGCAACGACGACGACGACGACGACATACACGTCGCGACGTCTTTCTACGCGTCTGCTCTTTCCCCTCCGGATTTAAGCCTTATTATTACCGCGCGGTCAAATTTGCGCTATTTATTTTACGAAATTTCTTTCAGCAAGCCTTAAAAATATGTAAAAAAAAAAAAGAGCTTGTTTATGGTTGAAACATTTTGCAGATTTATTTAAATTAAGCGTTAAATGATAGTCAGTATAAACGTAGTATTAAACGATCAATTTATAAATTTACCGATTAATAAGCAAACGATTTACGCGCTATAAAGTAGCAGTAAGTGATATAGAGACCTAAGCAGCTGTGCAATCGATAAAATCGAGTTAATACAAGGGAACCCGCGGTTATTACTAATTATTCAAACTAAACTCTCCCACCCTATCCTCCCTCCCTCTCTTTACGAGGTTCTCCGAAAGCCGTGGTTCTGGTTTTAGGTCTGCGTACTCACTCGGAAATATACATGTATAAGCACTTACGTTGGACACATTGTAGCTGCTGTATTGCTCTTTGGGACTGCTGCCGCCGTTCTGCTCGCACTGCTTGTTCTTGAAGGCTCGGTAATTCTCTCGGAGCTGTTTGCCGTACTGGAACACAAAGCGGAGCGGACATCGTTAACGCGCGAGCGTGCAGCGGTTCGCAGGACGCGGCGGCCGCGCGAGCCTAACCGATTCTACGCTTCGGACGCATCGCAGCGTCCGATAGAGGCGGAACGGGTGCAAGAAAAAAAAAAAAAAAAGAGAGAGAAAAAGGAAGAGGACGCCGCATCCGCGATTTGCATAATTTTACACGCGTCACTTTGTCGCATAGCGCCGGCCGGCCGGTCGACCGGCCGGTCGCGTCGGTTCGCGCGTGCTGCCGCCCAGCTGTGCGAGGCGGACGGACCGCCGATCGATACTTCGCCCGTCGAGGTATCGCGCTCGCCTAGATAAATTCAATCGTTGCTACGCGGATAGAATACGAAAGTACCACCGACATTTTCCGATCTCTCTCTCTCTCTCTGCGACAATTAAATTCCCTTTTCTCGTCCCGATTTTTTGGGCGGCGCGAGAAGCCCTGAGAACCTAATTACCATATTTTTCATCGGAGGAATCGAAATCGAGAAAAAAAAATAAATAAATAAATAAATAAAAGGCTCGGCAGAGAAAGAAAATAAAATCATGACAATTGGAATATAATTCGAGATCAACGTTCATCATATTCAATTTTTCGAGAAATTGTTACATATGTTTTTTCATTAATAATTGCTTTTTTCCATACTATCGTTTTTATATCGTGTAACGTGGTGTTTCTTAAATAATATCGAAACATAAATATCTTGTTTCGGATCAATGTTTTTCGGGCAATGAGATTAGCGATATCCAATTTTCGGATGGAACAAACTGTAATCCTATTTCTTACAAGCAGCTTGCGAATTCAGGAGGAGTATTCAATCGAAACAACTGATTCTTTTCGTTCGCAGGAAATATTTACGCTTTGTAGGTAACGATAAGATTGACCATGATTGAGTCAAAGGTAATCCATATGAGCTCCCCTAAGCTTCTTATATTACCCACGTGTTAGAACACAATCAGTTAAAGCAAAGCTGACTTACAAATGGAATTTATCTCCTACACTGTTGGAAAAAAATGTGTTGAATTTAACATAAATCGCATGTCCCAAATGGTCCACTCAAAATTTTGTGTTAATTTAACATAATATGGATGTGTTAAATAGTAATACCGACACTACGTTAATATTTCAACAAAAAAGAAATGTACTCTTGATCTTAATTTGAAATTAATTGTGTGTTACAATTAACATAATTTTTATGATAACATGATTTTTATGAAAACAACATGTTGAGACGCGTCAAAAATTCGAGACTGTGCCAAAATCACACAAAGAATAATAACAAGTCATCCTCACTCCTGTTATAGAGTAAAACCAACATTTTTTGTGTGTAAATTTTAACATATTGAATAAATACGTATGAATTATGTTATTTTAACACATTTCTTAAATCATTTTAATATTTTTACATTTTACATTTGTTAAGGTCAGTTAACATAGTAGACATATGTTAAATTTACATATAAATATGTAGATTATTTAACACAAAAATTTTAACAAAGACCGATTTTAACACAAATACAAAATATTTTACTACTGTGTAGTTCAACTCGAAGATTATATAAACCATCCATTCGTAAAAATTCCTACTAATTCTAAATTTAAATATATTACTATAAAAAATTATCACCTTCTAATTCTTAATTTCGTGCCGATTTTATTTAATTTTATTTAACTTTAACTTTAAACTGGTTCTATATAACTCAACATTTGTGACTTGATATCGACAAATAAAAGCTAAATTTTCATTTCTATATAAAAAAATCCATTTAATGCAGAAACTTCGCTCTAAAAAAGAATTTCGACAAGAAAATGAGAGAGAAAACCAACGTGTACGTTGGCGTGCATGCTTCGAGCGGGCATGTGTCAATTGCGCGACGAGACGAGACGTGGACGCAAAGGACGAGACGGGACAAGACAAGACAAGACAAGACAAGACAAGACAAGACAAGACAAGAGGAACAGACGGTGCTACGTGAAATAATGACGGTGAACGTGTGCATAACCGTAGACCCAACAGTGGTATAGCCATCGTATCGACCCACAAGACAGTCGGGCGCATCCATGCTCGACTGACTGCTCACGCACACGCGCGCCCACTCATACACGCAAGCGTAAATTGCTCGTGACGTGCACGGCACCCACACGCATACACACGCGCAGGGATGCTAATATACTCAATGCGGGCCGTAGCCTGCATCGTGGTAAAACGAAATTCGCTCCCGGCGAGCTTTGCAACCGGCGAGGACTTGCTTGGCAACAGCAAAAATAAACTCGCCCTTTCGAAGTGTTATTAAACGCACACGTTGAAATTTCTCCAGTCCCAAGGCGCATCTTTTGTAAATCGGCAGCCCCCATGAACTCGTTAACTTTCCTTTTTAACCGTAAAAAAAAAAAAAAAAAAATTAAAAAGAAAAAAAAATTACATAAATCGATACTTTCACTTCACTGTGGTACCGTAAGAGTCTAATACGGGAATATGAATTTCCAGGTAAAACTGACTAAAAACGCATTCGAATGTTGCACGTACCGTCGCTCGTCTCTCGCGCGCTTCTCGCTTTCGCGGGAGAAATTAAGCGAAGATTCCGAAAGCTGGGATTCGTCGCTTTCGCGTTTCGGGAGCGTGATCGAGACGGATGCGAAGATGAAGGGCGGTGGCGGCAGCGGCTAATTGAAGGCGGCCCTAGAGTATTGCCGGCGCGCAGCGCGTTTGGAGAGATAATTACGTAATTCAATTATTCACAAAACGCAGACGAGACGCGCCGATGAGGAAAGCGGCAAGGCACGAATGTACGCTAATCAGCGATAGAGTAACGGAAAGCGATAACGAGGCACACGGGCTCTAAGTAAACGAAAGATAATGCCGCGTCGGATGCCCTTCGATATCGCAAAATCACGTCCCCGATGATACGGGGCTATTGATTGAAAAGCTGCTGAAAAGTTGCCCCGCGAGGTGATCACGACAAATTTCCCTTATAAATCGAATGACCAATGCAAATTGGCGCAACGCACTCCGAGGATCCTTCTTGCTGCAGATTAATTATAATTCTCGGCTCGGTAAGAAACTCAATAAGGTTAGAGATACGTGTAATCGAGTAGAAAGCGACCCGGTATATTTGCGGCTCAATTTTATCCGTAGCTCTCTTGTTGCGCTATGATCTGTTCACTTTCTCATTATCGTTATCATTTTATGAGACTAGCAAAAAGCGAGAGTTAATGCCAAATGACAATATCCTATCTGCGAACGGCAGTATTTTTTATCTTGCGCGGAATCTGGTCCTGAATTAATCGGACTGGTTTCACCATGGGAACCATTCTCTAGTCCATTGCTCTTTTTAGATATTAATAAATCTAGCTTTTTTCTACTTTAATGATTTGTCACGTGGTTGTATTTACTTACAGATATAACAGAGAGAGAGAGAGAGAGAGAGAGAGAGAGAGAGAGAGAGAGAGAGAGAGAGAGAGAAGGGAGGGGCGGGAAGAGGAATAACGAATGAGCCAAGCGAGAGACGACGAGAGCTGGAGAAAAGAGAAGAGCACATAGTAGATCCAGAGCGGGTAGGTAGGTAGATAGGCTGACAAGAGACGCAGACAGGCATGGATAACCAACGAGGCCGATAAACACTAGGCAAGCCTGATCTGTCTGCCCGCCGGCGTCCACCGGTAGTATAGATGCACGACTTGGGGAATCCTCCGAGGATGCACCGACAGAGGTCACGATTCTCCAGCGCAAGGGTCCCCAAATTACATCCCGTGGCAGATGAGTTTGCTATCCGACCCGGGCGAGCGTTGTTCGGAACGAAGATAAGTTGTCAGAGACGAATATAATAACGGCGAAAGAAAGAAAGTCTCGCTCGCGCGAGGCGCAGCAGTCGTGTAAATTAAAGAAAATTGCGCGAGATCGAGCACGAGAGGAATTAAATTAATTAAATTCTGAAAATTTAATTCAGCGAAAATGAATTATCGAGATTTTATGCGAGGCGCAACCGCGTGAAACGCGTTCATTTGGAATTCTGATTTTTTTTCCCCGTTTAAATAAAAACGCCACTCAAATAATAACGCGCGCCGCTTTAAAGCTTCGAAATATATTTACAGCCGCCGCGCCGGAAGACAGAATTCTTTTGCGTTAATAATGTTACTTTTTTAACTTTTAATTTGCTCCACGGGCGTGATTATCGCTCCGCGAACGATAGAGCGACGATAATATGCCGTGCCCGGGTTCCACTTCCCGGAGACCGGCCGGAGTGGAGAGGCGATCTGAGCAGCCACTTCACTTCTCTCGAGGAAGAATAGGCCCGTAAAGAGTAGCGTAATAAGGAGTAGGCGGCCGTATTCTAAAGTCTCTCTCTCTCTCTTTCTCTTTTCCTTCGGCGGAGCTGCCAATCGCGCGTTGCTAGCGTTACAAACCGTTACCGGCCACGAATAACTCTCTTCTCGGCGAGCACTTCGATTAGAGTGAAAGAGAAGAACAGGGGAAAGAGGAAAGAGAAGAAGACAAAGGCTGTCTGCGCTCGAAAATAAACCGATATTATCGACGACAACGGGGGGGAAAAGGCAGCCCCGGTGTCTCACAGGCTCCTCCGTCGGAAAAAGAAAGAAAGAGGCAAGAAAAATGCACGGTGTCAGTGCCACGACTGTTCTTAAAAGACGAAGAAAAGAAATTTCGAAAAGAAAACACGCCGTGGTATAGTGTGTACGCACGTCGACAAGAGCTCTCTCTCTCTCTCTCTCT